GCCTCCTACTCTGTTGTAAAATTTCGTGAGACCCGAATCCACGTCATTTCAACTTGGCGGTGTTTGAGTTATGCGCCGGGCTGACATATTAGAAAGGTGCAAAGTTAACCACTGCGCCTCTTGGATTCTGGGAAATTGGTGACCGCTAAGCTCATCTCCTCGACCCTAAGCAGTGATAGGAAAAAAAAACTGAGAACAGGACTACATATCTCATACATAAAAACTAGGAGCAGGTGTAGGCCATTTGGCCCTTTGATCCTGCTCCACCATTCAATATGATCATGGACAATCCTCTATCTCAATGCCATATTCCCATATTTTCCCCATATCCTTTTCTGCCTTAAATCTAAAAATGTATCTGTCTCTTTCTTGAATGTATTCAGTAACTTGGCCTCCACAGCCCTTGTGATTGAGAATTCCAAAGATTGAGTGCCATTTGAATGAAGAATTTTTTTTCCTCAACTCAGTCCTAAATGGACTACCCTGTATCCTGAGACTGTATGCCCTGGTTATAAACTCTCCAACCAGGGAAAACAACCTCCCTACATCTAATCTGTCCAGCCCTGTTAGAATTTTATATGTTTCAATCAGATCCCCTCATCTTTCTAAACTCTATGAATACAGGCCCAACCAAACCAATCTCTCCTCATAGAACAGTTCTACCATAGCTGCTTTCAACCTAATGAGCCTTCACTGCCCTCCCTCAAATGACAAGTATATCCTTTCTCAGATAGAGAGACCAAAACTGCACACAATACTCCAACTGCAGTCTCACCAATGCCCTGTGTAACTGCAGTAAGATTTCTGAACTCAAATCCTCTTGCAATGATGGCCAATTTGCTTCCTCACTGCTTGCTGCACTTCCTTGTCTACTTCCATCTTCTGGTGGACAAGGATACCTAGATCCTTTTTCACACTCACTCTTCTGAATATATCACCATTTAAATAATACTCTTTCTTTCTGTTTTTCACAGAAGTGTATAACTTCACATTTAGCAACATTGTACCACATCTGCCTTGTGTTTTCCCACTCACTCAACTTGTCTAAACCACATTGAAGCCTCCTTGTATCCTCCTCACAACTTACAATCCCACCCAGTTTGTGTTGTTAGCAGGTTTGGAAATATTGCATTTGGTTTCCTCATCCAGAATATTGATATATATTGCGAATAGCTTTGGCCGAATACCGATCCTTGTGGTACTCCACTAGTCACTGCCTGCCACTTGGAAAGATACATTTATTCCCACCTTCTGTTTCCTGTCCGTCAGCCAGTTCTCAATCCATGTCAATATATTGCCCCCTACCCAGAGTGCTTTGACTTTGCTCACTAACCTCTTCTGCGATACCTCATCAAAAGCCTTCTGAAAATTCAAATACACTATATCCGCTTGATCTCCCTCATTTCCTCTCACACTTGGAATATTGTGTTCAGTTCTGGTCACCTCATTACAGGAAAGATGTGGAAGCTTTAGAGAGTGTGCAGTGGAGATTTACCAGGATGCTGCCTGGACTGGAGGGCTGGTCTTATGAGGAAAGGTTGAGGGAGCTAGGGCTTTTATCATTGTAGTGAAGAAGGATGAGAGGTAAACCTCTATCAAGTCACAAGATGATGAGAGGCATAGATACAATGGATACCCAGAGACTTTTCCCAGGGCAGAAATGACTATTATGAGGTGGCATAATTTTAAGGTGATTGGACGAAGGTATAGGGGAGATGTCAGAGGTAGGTTCTTCACACAGAGAGAGTGGTGGGCGTGTGGAATGCGCTGCCGGCAGTGGTAGTGGAGTCAGATACTTTAGAGACTTTTAAGCGACTCTCGGATAGGCACATGGATGAAAGTATAATGTAGGGTATGCAGGGTAGTTTGGTCTTAGTAGGATAATAGGTCAGCTCAACATTGTGGGCTGAAGGGCCTGTACTATATGACCTAAAAATTTACTCGAGATGTAATGTGTGTTGGGAGTATTCCAGAACTTGGGTCCTGGGTAGCTAAAGATGCATTCCACAAGGTGGAATGATGAAAATCAAGATGCACAACTGTTAGAATTAGAGAGGTCAGAGGGTATAGAGTTGTGGAGATAGGGAGAGGGGGTGAGGATTAGAATTTTAATATGGTGGCAGTGACCAACTGGACTGATGGGTGAATGGGTCTTGATGCAAATAAGGAAATGGGGAAGAGAAAGTCAGCCAAGAAGTATCAGAATTTGCTCACAATAAGATGTGCTTAGAAGATAGGAGCAGGAGGCGGCTATTCGGCCCTTCATGCTTGTAGTATAAATAGTTCTGAGACTGTATAATCATAAACAGAGGAGGTGGTGACAAAGTGGTAATGTCACCACACTAGCAATCCAGACCCTAATGCCCTTTAGGAAAGGTAACTGCTGTCCTTACCTAGTTGGGTCTATCATATGACTCCAGACCTACATGTGATTGACTCTTAACTAGAATGCACAATAAATGCTGGTTTGGTCAACGATACCCATATCCCATGAACAAATAAAAAAGGCTCTCAAATAAGACTTGCTGCCTCTCTCCTCAGGAGTTCAACTTCAATTGAGAAACAAAAGATAACTCATTTTCGCACAACAAAGCACATTAGTCCGTCCTGAGCTCATGAAACAACTGTATACAGGCAGCCCTGGGGTTTTAAATGGAGTGCCTTCGCAAGTGGATCAGTACGCAAGGCGGAACACAATGTAGGGCAATATAAAATAGCCGTTCTTTTGTACAGGAAATTTTCATGTGTCAGATCTTTGAAATTACATCTCTGCAACGGGACTGTATTCTGAAGTATGAGCACTTGTACGTTAGACATCTGTAAGTCGAGGAACCTCTAAGTGTGATTTTTTTGATGAACTAAGAGAATCTCTCAAAATCTATGTTGAGAATTGTTTCTATGTTTCCCATCTAATTCTAAAAAGAAAAGTTTTGAACATAAAATAACACATATCTTCTGATTGTACAGCTGTATTTATGCACCTCTGTGCTCCTCACTAGTTTTTCTTAATTGAAGGCCCCAGCATCTTCTAAAAGCTGGAGTCTCCAGTGAGTATAGTATTTTCACATCTTAGGGTGGGACAGGTCTTACAGCCACGTGTGCACCTTCTGAACATGTGCAGATATTTCCAGCAGGCAAACTGCATCATCATGGCAATGAAGCCTCTTCATTGTGTGAGGATGACAGACTTTTGCCTCAAAAGACTTTTAAACGTAGCTGATTGTGAATTCAGCCAAGTGACAGCATTCATGAAATTTTATTGGCAGGCACCGAGCTGGCCATGTTCAGCTGACGTAGACAAATGATGATGACAAGAATTGGGTTTTAGAATGCTTGCCACCTAATGGCTAAAGTTTGCAATTACACTGTGACAGGTGAGGAAAGAAAACAGAGTGGGAAATGTTGACATAGCAATTTGTAAAGGTAGGATTGACAGAAAGGTGTGACAGAAATCATGACAACAGCAATTTGGATTTGTGAACAGCAAGTGTAGTAGAATATTTCTGAACACATAAATGATGTTTCTCTGTTATGAAGAGCTCACAGACAACACCTGTGTTCAGCAGTACCAACTGTTTCTTTGTTGACTGTTACAAAAGAAAACAAAGATTGTTTATCCAAGAACAGATCTTTTTTTAAAATGTCATCACTTCATATCGGAGGCATTCAATTTATAAGGTTGCCTTTTCAGAAACATTCATGAGGAATGGAAAGACATTTCTTTCATTCTTTCCTGGGATGTATTTAGCAATTCTGAAGAATCCATAATGGGCTCAAAAAGTTAACTCTGTTTTTCTCTCTACAAATACTGCCAGAGCTGCTGAATTACTCCAGTAATTTCTGTTTTTATTTCAGATCTCCAAAATCAATGGTATTTGGCTTTTCCATTAGGCTTTTGTCAACATTGGTGTTGTGTTTGACCTGGTTATGAGCTTTTGACCTCACATCCATGAAATCACTCAGGGTCTATTTTCACTTCTGTAGCTTAGCTGACTTCTCCTCTGTCTCAGCTGATTTGCTGCTGAAACCTTCATCCATACCTTTAATACACTAGACTCAATGATTTCAATGGCTGCTGCCCAACTGTCTACCTACCATAAACTTGGGGTCATCCAAATCCTGATGCCCAAATTGCATCATTTCTGTTCCCCTGTCACCTAGCAATTTACACTGGCTCCCACTGAAATGGCAACTTGACTTAAAATTCTCATCCTTGATTTCATATCCCTCTATGGCTTCACCCCTTGTTATCTCTGTTATGCCCTCTTCCTGTACAACCTTCAGAGATGTCTGCCTTCACCCAATTCTGGTCTCTTCAGCATCCTTGGTTTTAATTATTTTACTGTTGGCAATTGATTTTTCAGCTTCTTGGGCCCCGAGCTCCAGAATTCCCTCTCTACCTCATTTCCTTCCTCTATAATGCTCCTTAATACCTACCCTTTGGTGACCTAGCTTTTGGTCATCCAATCTAATCTGACCTAATGTGGCTGGATAGCATATTTTGTTACATAATTTTCTCATGGAAGCACATTGGGTATTCTATTAAGTTAGAGTCTTGATATAAATGTAAGTCATTCTTATTGTTATGATCACTAATCCTTCTGAAAAGGTACACATCAACCAATAAAGCTTTTAACTATTCATTTAATCTTCTAGATAATGAACTATGTTTCCAATTATAGTCTCAACTGCAAATTTCAGCACATTTCCAAACCAGAGATACAGTAGCAGACGCCAGCTTGTGTAATAGTGACTAATCAGGTAAACATAGACCCTCACATACAGACAGCTAGTATGATCATCAGGTACATGCAGACAGACCCTCAAGTACAGTCAGAGCACATACAGACACACTGTTCAGGTACAGTCAGACCCCTCATGTGTACACAGTATCCTCAGCAGCAGTTATTGTCTCATGTATTTGGCAGTGCCTCTCTCTCTCAACCAATTATCAATCAACAAGTTCGCTGGTAACATGAGCAATATCCACAGCCACCTACCTTGAACACCTCAGAGAAGAATCCTGACCCAATTTTCTCACAGTGGAAATCATCGATCCTGGTCAAGGTGGAGACAGCGCTACGCAGTGCTCTGTAGGAAGAGGGGCGGAGATGACTGCAACCAGGTATCGCACCCAGCACTGGAGCAGAATATGGCCCAGGGTCAGGTATCAATACATCACTGGACAGGTCCAATCTGAGCGCTGATTCTTTCGACATCTCCCCTCACACCTCACATCCCCCACCCCCCCCCAACTCCTGAAATCTGTTTCACATTTTTCCCGAATCAAGAAACTTTTAATGACAGGATGGTGGGAGAGGGGGAGACGGGAAGATTTCCAGGATTTATAGGCAGGTCTTCAAACCACCAGAATCAAAGATGGATCCACTGTAGACGATTTAAAATTGATCAATCAGAAGTGATCAGCTCTAATTGATAATGCAGCACTGGCTCAGATTGGCAACAGAGGAGAAATCAATGATACCGTGCCAATCAATTGATCATATGACAAGTACCCTCTGATTTACGAGTCAGTCAGTGATCTGGTTCCAGTCAAGTGATAATCCAGTAACAATCGGGTGATAATCCAGTTTTGTTAATCCAGAAAGTGACAATTAACTGATGATCCATCAGGCAATAATTAAATCCTGATCTATTGGTAACTTGGCTCCAATGAATGGATAATCCAACAATGATAGATTGATGGTGTGACAATTCATCAGTCAATAATCAGGGTCCAATTTATTGATAATCAGCCAATTCATCAATATACGACCAAATGTCAGGATCTCTGCAACCCTTTCAGCAGGAAAATGCCTGAAATGTACTCCTCCAGGGAGGAATCCTAAGTAGAACACTAACCTGAAAGCAGGGCTCAATTTGGACAATGTGAAACAGTAGCTGCAGCAACAACCCTGAGATAGAATCGGTGTGAAGACGTGCCTGATCTACCAAAGGCAATCCTGAACAAACTTTATCCTGATCCCAGTCCTCCCCAAACCTTGCTCCAAGTTTACTCTGGGTTCCCCTCTCATTCAGCTCCAGGTAAACTATCAGTTTTCTTTCTGATGCTGCTCCTGGTCTAATCCTAATTTCCCCTCACACCTTGCTCTTGGTTTGAGCCTGGTTTAATCTTGCTGCTGGTCTTGGTTCTCCTCTGATATCGCTCCTGGTCTAATCCAATTGCTGGTCTGATCCTGACTTCCTGCGTTGATTGTACTCCAAATCCGTTCCTGGTTTCCCTTCCAATCTTGCTCCAAGTCTGAACCTGCTCCTGGTTTGATGCTGGTCTCTCTCTAATCCCACTGCTGATTTGATCCTGGTTTGCTCCCTGATCCTGCTCCGATCCTGGTTCCCGTCGACAATGACGATGTTGGCGCTGCCGCTCCTGCTCCGTTTTTTTTTGTTTTTGTTGGCTCCGTTTATTGCAGCAGCGAGCTCGGGTTGGGATCGTGCTCCGGGAGTGATCGCTGGGGTGTGTGTGTGTTATTCCGGAACGCTGTCTCTCCCACACACTGTGTATGTGTATGCTGCTGACACTCCGTGTTCCCATATGTGGAAGGCACGGAGGCTGGGTAGAAGGCGGCGCTGCTGAAATGCCCCCACCCCACTAAAGCCTTCCTTCATTCTCCACCCTGTCACTGAGGGATAGAGGGACCAGGCGCCGCCTGTGGGCTGTATAAATTCACTTGCAATCAGAGACTCGCTACATCCAGAAAATACAGGTTGCAGGTCAGTCTGAGTGGAAAAAGAAAACAAATGACCTAAAATGTCACCTTTAGTTCTCTCAGGACAGTGACTTCAAAGGAATTAAGGGATTTACATATACATATTAATCAATTAAAACCTCCTAACTGATTAAAGATTTAACACATCTTAGGTTTGTTTACTACATCCTCATCAATGGTGTGAACCTTTGATCTCTTTCTTATAAATTCTGTGTCTGATACTTCCTCTCTCACTAACACTGAGGCTCCAAAAGCTTGTGTTTTCAAATAAACCTGTTGGACTATAACCTGGTGTGGTGTGATTGCTGACCTAGTCCAACACTGGCACCTCCACATCATCCATAAACTTCAACCAACATCACTCAAACAGCTTCATCAGGTCACTGGTTTCAAAACGTTAACACTGTTTCTAACTCTCCTCAGATGCTGCCCAGAACTGTTGACTTTCTTTCTTTTTGTTTATCAGGCCACAGTCATGTTGCTAGCTAAGGAGATCTTGCTGTATGCAAATTGGCTGCTAGGTTTTTCCTGCAACACAACTGTTCAGAAGGAACAATCCCAGTGTTTTTCAGAGCTGTTCTGCCTCCTTGAAGGATCAAGAACCCAGAGGGCACAGACTTAAAGTGATTTATGAAAGAAGTAAGAATGATGTGAGGTGGAAAAATGTTCACACAGGAATGTCTAGGGACTGGAAGCATTGACTGCAAATGTGGTAGGGGTTCACAGAGTGTGGTATTCAAGAGGAAAAAGGATGATTATTTTAATAGAGACAATGTGTAAAGGTATGGGGAAAAGGCAGGAGATTGGCACTAAATAATAATGCTTATCTGCAGACCCAGTGCAGACACAATTAACCAAATGGCCTTCTTTTGTGCTGTAAGATTTTTATGATTCAGTGAATTCCACCATGGCCTCTTCCCCATCCCACCTCACTGATCTGCCCCAGTTCCACAGTACTCCAGATCTCCATGTTATTCCAATTCCAGCCACTGAGCATTTCCTGATTTCAGTCGCGTTAAACGGGCAGCCATGCCTTCAGCCATCTGGACTTCAAGCTCTGGAACTCCTTCCCCAAACCTCTCTAGCTCTCTCTTCCTTAAGGTGCTGCTTTAAACCTCCCTTTCCCACCACGCTTTTGACTATGGTGCAACACCTGTTTTTGTAATTCAGTGTCAAATTTTGTCTGACATCAGTCCTCTAAAATACTTTTGGGAGATTTTGCAATGCAAATGATGCTCTATAAAAGTGCAAGCTACATAAATGCACTCATCTAGACAAGTCTTGACTAGTATGCTGTCACACTCCTGACTTGTGCCTTGATGATGGTGGATAGACTTTGGAGATTGAGGAGGTGAGTTACTCACTGCAGGATTCCTAGCCTATGACCTGCTGTTTTAGCCATCTTAATAACATGGTTAAGTTTCCAGCCAGTAGCCCCAGGATCAAGAATTCTTTAGTATCTGACATTCTTCCAGTACAGTAAAAGAAATAACTTGTATTTATATACAGGATCGGCTTCCATGAATACAGAACATTGTAAACCCCTCACATCTGATTATAAAACTCAAATTTCTCTCACACTGTTCAACACCTCAAGACATCCTAGAGTGCTTTACAGCCACTAAGTACTTTTCGCCCCTTCATTACTGTTGTAAGATTGGAAAAACAGCGGGCACTTTGCTCACAATAGACAATAATCACATAAACAAATTGATATATTTGTCATAGCTTTCACAACCTCAGGAATCCCAAATCACTTTACCAAGAAATAACTTTGGAAGTGTAATGTTGTTGTAGGAGGGTCTTGTGGCGCAGTAGGTAACTTCTCCACTTCAGCCAAAAACTGGTTCAAGTCCACACCCCACAAGTGGTGGCCACAGAATGTATGGTCAAACAGGTATTGACTTGGAAATTCATCCAACACACCAATGTCAGGTAGTCCATCCTCTGGATTACCATATACTCAGATTCATTGGGGGTCAGGGGGTTCAATGGCCAGTGTGTATCAGATGGGAACCAACAGCATGGGGTTCAATACATTTCCCCCTGTTCCATCTGGAAATGATCCAAGACCTGCCTCCTTGTGGCACAGGTTGAGGTTCTGTAGTTTGAACAGCCTTCAAGCAGAGAAAAAGATAAAGTCACTGTTGTAATGTAGAAAACAAAGCAGCCAGATTAGACACAAATGTCAATGTGATTCAGTGAAATGGATTGAAGGATAAATATTGGTCAGGTTATCAGAGAGAACTCTCCTCCTCATTATCAAAAGAGTGTTGTGGGACTTTTTTTGTTCACTTGTAGTACATGGGCATTTCTAGCTGAGTCTGCTTTAGTGCCTAGTTGCCGTTGAGAAGGTGGTGGGGAGCACCTTCTTGAACTGCTGCAGTCCACGTGCTGTAGGTTGACCTACAATGCCCTTAGGGAGGGAATTCATGATTTTGACCCAGCGACAGTGAAGGAACAGTGATACATTGTCAAGTCAGGATGAGTGAGTGCATTGCAGGGGAACTCGCAAGTGGTGGTGTTCCTATGTACCTGCTTTCCCTGTCTTTCTAGTTAGAAGTGGTGGAGGGTGCTATCCAAGGATCTTTGGTAAATTTCTGCCACATAGGGGACAGTCACTGATGGCCGGGACCTCTGGAGGGTGACTAGAAGGTCATTGGAAGTGGTGAGAGAAAACAAAAAGCTCAGCTGCTGAGAAGAGGGGCCCAGAGAAAACTGAGGCCAGAGCATCCTGCACCTTCTCAGCTCAGTGTATTTCTCTGCAGTAACTGAAGCAGAGACTGCTCTGTCAGAGTGCGGCTCCTGGGCCACACCAGACAACGTATAATAGAGTTTACCACTGCAGTGCAAGTGATGATCTTTTGTGAAAGAAGGCAGCCAAATGAGGAAATATGGAACAAATGTCAGTAGATGAAGCTGAAATTACAAGTCAGTTATAAGTGTTGGAATATTTATTGCAGCTGGTTTGAATGGAATAAAATGGTGAGTGATTTGTGGATGGACAATAAATGCTGGCTTGTGGGGGTGGGGTGAGCTCTCATGGCACAGTAGTAGTGTCCCTACCTCTGAGCCAAAAGGCCTGGGTTCAAGTCTCACCTGCTCCAGAGACATAAAGTAACATTGCTGAACAGGTTGGTTAGAAAACGTAATAAACGCTGACTTGGCCAAAAAAAAAATTAAAACAGCCAAACCTGTTATGCACAATCTCTCAACATCAAGATCCATGTTTGGAAATTCTCCTGCTGCTTTCTGCATTGTGTCTTGGGATCTATTAAATCCATCTGAACAGGCAGACAAGGCCTTAGTTAACTGTCTGATCCAAACAACAGCATTCACTCATGTAATGCACAGAGTTGTCATCCTTGATTGATTGCTGGAGTAAGGCTTAAAACCAGAACCAACCATCTGACACTTAGATACTAATACAACAACACAGTCAAAATGGCACCCAGTGGGCTTGAAACAAACAAGTCCCTTGACAGAGACATAGGATGGGTATACTCAGTGCTAATAGCTACCAGGAATGACAGTTAGGGAGGCAGTGGTAGTTTGCAAAACAAGTTGACATTTCAAAACAAGGTGACAGAACAGATCCAGATGCATTAGTCTGAAATAAAAACTGAAAACGGTTTTGGAGTAGGCTGCCCTACGCTGGAAGTACTCTGCACGCCCTAGCAGCATCTGTGGAGAGACAATCACAAAGTTAACATGTCAGGTTAAAAGCTTATTGTCAGAACAGTTCTGTAACTCTGGCTGAAATTTTCTCTGTCCCATGGAGGCAATGCAAATTTAGAATGAAACATGGTGTGTCAACTTCCTGAAAAACTCAGCAGAGGCCAGTATTCCATCAGCAAGTCATGTTTATTTACACATGAATAGTACTTGAAACTGGTCCAGGTAGCACAGACCCATCTCCTCAAGTGAACAGAACCTCTGACACTCCTGTTTATATCAGTCAGACAGGATTCCCTGATTGGACCAGGTTAACAGCTCCAATCAGGGAACTTGTATTCTGTGAAGTCCTGGCTAACTGCGTTCCAATCACTGCATCCCTCCCCCTGTAAGACCTGGGATGTAGGCCTGTTTTTTTCTGTGGGCCATTTTCGCACCAGGTCAGGTTGCTCCAACTCTTTCTTGGGGATAGTTGCAGTTTGTACCAGACCGTAGCCCACCTCTTGTGTCCAGAGCATCTCGGCTGAAATTCATTATCTGGGTGGTAACAGCATCGAGGTTGCAACATGTGCTGTGTCCATCTCATCCTCAGAGATTTATTCAATACTAGGCGGAGGGGGAGAACCCAAAGGCAGCCTTGCCAGATGTTCAGAGGGGCTGGATATATTTTGCTCCTGTCCCGTTTGCAGGGGTGCTACTTTCATGTAATCCACATGCTTGTTCAGGACCGCCTCTCCTATTCAAATTTTGTACATCACAGGACCTGACCTCACATCAACTGTGCCTCTTACCCATGCAGGGCCATTCCCATGGTTTCGATGCCATACTTTGTCCCCTGCAGTAAACTGCCTCTATTGCTTAGAGGAGTCTTGTGTTTGGTATTGTGTAAATGCTGTTCCACCTTCCCCCACCCAAGTCCAGGAAGACCACGTTTAACCTAGTGTGAAGTATTCTACCCATTTGCAACTCTGCTGGAGCTATCCCTGCAGTTGCATGATAGGTGGTCCTATAATCAAACAGAAACTGGGAAAGTTTGGTACCGAGTGAAGCTGTAAGCTGTTTCTTTAAGCCTGCCTTCAAAGTTTTCATTGCTCTTTCTGCCAGACCATTGGACGACAGATGGTATGGAGCTGTCCTTCCATGCCAAGTGCCATTTGACTTTAGG